CAGCGGGCAGAAGAAAAATAAATATACAAAAAAAAATCAAACAATAATCAACTTAAAGCGAAACTTTCAACAAAGTTTCAACGGACGAGCAGACAGAAGGCATGCGACTCGATACTACACAGTAGATAGACACAACTTGCCTATAATTGAGCAATTTACACCACAACAAGGACCGGGCCACAAAAAAAAAAGTCCAAAAAAATTGAAAAAATGGAAGAAGTGTGATTCGCGGCCGAAGCCACTCTAAAACTTTTCATCCTTGGCCAACGCGGGAGACGGCGCGATACTGGGCTGGCTGGCTGGCTGGCTGGAATGCGATAAAAATGTTCAGATTATGTAACCGAAATACTTTTAAGTCGAAATCGACCAATATAAATTCATGGCTCAGACACTTGCAGTGGCATGTGAGCGTTCTTTTTCTTCTTCCACATACACGCGAGTATATACTTATGTGTGTGTGTGGATGAACTACACACACATGTCTCTCATGCGCTGTCTCAGCGTGTGTGTGTGTGTGTGCGTGTGTGTGTAGGCTTGTGGCTGCCCACAAAGGAAACGCTGCAAAATGAAATATCGCACACACACACACACACACACACACACACTGACACCCACAAACAAGCTGAGTGGCCATTTTGTAGCGGCTGGCAACATTCTAAACAATATTTTATGCTTATGTGCTGCACAAATATTTATTAGTTTGTTGTTATTTTGTACTTGCTACGTACTGGGCTTGTTGACACGCACAGGCTCGGGCTTTGCTTTTGGCTTTTGGCCGAAGCGGCTGTGATTTTGGAACTGCAACCAGCATGAGCGTAGCCAAAACTCCCAAACGCTATTCATCAGGGCCCGCAAATAATGATTATTTTGTTCTTGTTTTTTAAACGAAAAAAAACATCAACTTATACTAACTTTGACAAAGCAAGCAATTTACCAATATCCTTTTTTCGAGAATTATCTATGCATTTTCACCCTGATTTAAAAACAATAATCTTTATTCATTCTCTTCAAATGTAGGAGTTGGCTTATAGTCTAAGGATATACATACATTTCTGCCCTATTCCCTATTTTGCAAGAGTGCCTAACTCTGTTAATCAGAGACAGACTAATAATTTTTTGTGTTCAACGAAAAAACTTTGACAAAGCGAGGAATTTACCAAAATGTTTTTTTTTTTAATAATCGTTGCGTTTTCAGCATGATTTAAAAATTGTAATATTCATTTAAATCATTTCTCAAATCCTATAATTAATTTTAAGTTTTTTTTACAACTCAAATTAAGTTCAATCATTATTATTAAGCAAAAAAAAAAAACTCATAAACTAATGATGATTCTTTGAATTATATTTTTTTGATCAAAAATAAAACTCAAGCTGAACATATTTTTTTTAACATTTTTTTTACTCCAAAAGTGTACTATAAGGGTTCGTCTTTCCTTATAGTTTAAGGATATATCTAAATGTTGACCTTATTCCCCATAAAAAAGGCAGGAACCATTACAACTTAATGCTTATATTTGATCAAAAAAATAAAACTCAAATAATGAATATTCTTTATAACTTTTATTGGTTTTGATCAACAATAATGATTATTAGTTAAGTTGTAAAGTAAAACTCAAAATTATATGGTGAGCGAATGAATAAAATTAAAAACTAATTTTTTTTTTTTTTTTTTGGGAAAAATGTATGTATAATTTATTAAACTACACATAAGTCTCTTTCGATGTCCCTAATGCGCATATACCAGGGAGCGTTGCATATTTTCTCAGTATTTTAGCTTGCGCAACTCTTATTTTGTTAAAAACTAATCATAATTTTGTAATTTTTGTAATAAAATCACAGTCCCTGCTATTAATTTAAACGAAAAAATAGTACTTCCTACACATTTAAAGAAAGGGTGCAGCTTCTTGCTCTTCCTTCGCTCTGTCATTCAACTAAAATCAATCTTCTAACCACTACACAAAGACATATAGTATACTAAAAATATATAGATACAGATCTGTTGACGATTCAGATTGTGGGAAGCAGCTTAAGTAGAGAGTGCACCATTTCGGATGAAACTTCAGAATAACATGCATGCAAAGCTCTTAAATAATAATTATAAAACAAACAATGAACAAATGGTTTTTGTCATTTTCTGTGTTTTCCCCCCCACGATAAGCCGCCCATGGCAGCGACAATGACTCCGCTCAAAATACTCCCCTTTCCCAACCACAGTTCGCTCTCTCTGTCGCTTTTGGGAACAACATGCAAAACATTTTAGCCTGCCAAGTCGATGGCCATTAAACAGCCAAACGAATCCGCGCCCGCGCACCGTTAGATGGCATTGTTTGTCGGCATTCATCAAAGGCGGAGGCTGCGAGCCTTCATCTCTTACATGGCATTTATTTCCCCATATATCTGCCTCCTAGCCCCTCTCCGATCCTTAAGTGGCAGCTGCCTCGACGGGGGATTGCCAAAATGTTCTTCTTCACTGCTTTTTAGTGTTTCCTTTCTTTTTTGTTTGTGCATTTTGTTTTGCGAAATCAACGATTTACATTTATTAATTGTGCTTTTAATTTGACAGCCGAGACATCAACGGCATTGTGTTTGTGAATTCGGTTTTCATTAACCGCTGTGTATGCCTCGTAGCGGCCCATAGCTCTAGAATTTGAATTATATGTGTTACCTATATTAGTTTAGGTTTTAGATGTTTTAAACTAATCCCATGACATGGGAAACAAATAATAACAATAAATTAGTATAGTAATAGTATATATTTGTTGAGCTGCCTATTACTTCGCGTTACCATACTTTTTGATTTATTTAGAAAATCTGAGTTGCATATAGATAGATAGATATAGATAAATAGGGAACTATCTGGCGCATAAAAGAAGCAATCAAGTTTTTTTTTATTTCATTTTAGTTTTACGATATTTTTAATTTCCTTTTTTCGTATTTTAACTCGTTGAGCCGTGTTCGTTAGTAAACAGGACCTCTTGGAAATTAGAAAACACACACTTGATGTAATATTTTTTTTAAATTCAAAATAATGAATTCATTCTTCAAAATATTCGGGCCGAATAAAAATAAAAAAAATTAATAACAATAATGAATATTAAACATTTTAACTCTTGGAATAAAATTATTCATATGAAAACAACCTGATTATAAGCTCGATATAATCTATTACACAATAATTAAAAAATAACCGGATACTTGTAATGCTAGAATAATTTTTATAATAAATATATCGATAATTATTCAAAGCAACAACAGAAAACCCAGTATTAACCGTTTGACCAGGTGGAACGAATTCCCATCGAAACGTAGAAACAAATCAACAGTTTTGACTTCAGTTTTGACTTCTCCAAACTTTATTACGAGTTGCAATATTGTTCCAGATGTTTTGGTCATTTTTGGACCACTAATGATGTCTTTCGAATGGCTAATCAGATTTATCGTACACCTCCAAACTCTTATCCAGCTCTTCTAGCTCCTTCAGGACAATCAGTTCTTCATAATATGTTGGATGTGCAAATAATTTGCACGCATATTTCTACCATGTAAAAAGTGTATTCCAATGCAGTGTTCTGTAAAAGAAAAAGCTATACTTTGGAGTTCTTGCTGGATTTAATTGAAATACACTTATTTTACATTGGACACATTTCTGCGCAAATTATTTGCATGTCTGACCACACCTTAAGAGACGTTATTAGACCTGATTGCCAAGCATTACGTTTCAGCAGCGTATATACATATGTCGTATTTGTTTGTAAATAAAAATTACATAAATAGGTGTCGGTGTATCCTTCAATGTGCCTTAGAGTTTCATAGTCGGAATGTGAGAATTGTAAAGCCTTGTAAAATCTGTTGCAATCAATCGACAGTAATCGGCATGCAGGCCCTGCCGTAGATAGACGACTGGCTTTTGATTTTCCCTTCAATAGAGAACTGAAAATACTTGACCGGGCCATGCAGTTTTGCCAAAACGTGCAACAAATGGCTGCCTCCCCTGGCCAGTGCCATTGGGGGCATTAACAATTCAGTTGCTCGTTGTGGAATGGGGAATAGGGAATGGGGAATGGGGAGATGGGGGGAGAGGCTGTGGATGAGACTTGTTTTGGAACTCTGTGGCAATCGCCTGAAGTGTGTGGCTTTTCATGTACGGGCCGGTTAGTTAAAGATGCATACACAAGTGTTAAACAATTGAGCCAAGCACCCGACAGCCGAATCAACGGAAATAACGAAAAGTATTGAAGTGAAGGGACGCCCACGTTAACGACAAATCGGCAGGAATGCAGGCGAAAATATGGCCATTGGGCAGAGATTCCTTTAAGTTACTGTTGCTAGTGTTCTTGTTCTGCTTGTTGTTCTTGTTGTGGTGGAGAGATGACGCAGACCGTTGGCTTTGGTGGTCAATGAACCGTATTTGCATCTGCACTTGACACAGTTTGCGGTCGCAGGCGGCGCGAGGGTGAGAAAAGGAACGCAAGAATCAAAGCATCAGATACGGCCAGCAGGACGAGGTGTGGGGAACTGACCAGACAGCCAAATCATTGCCATTGACGCAGTCGACCACAGAAGTTTATTATTTGTTGCCGCTGTAATTCATTCCCTTCCCCACAACCACAACCATAACCATAACCATGCCCCTCCCACGCCGCTTTCCTTACTGGCTTTTGGCACATTTCTCATCTTCGTCGCTTAAAAAACAACAAGAGAGGCAAAGGGAGGGGGCAGAGGAGGACCTGCATTACTGAGTCGGCATCGGAGTTGGAGTCTGAATCTGAGTCTGAGTCTGTTTCTGTTGCTGTGGCTGTGGCTGAGTGATGGAGTGGGAATGAAGAGTCCGTTAGGGCTGTTGGTATAAAAGCACATCAACTTCTACTTGCAAGAATCAATTATTAAATTTGAAGCAAGCCATAAAGTTGTCGCACCACCCGCGCATTCTCCCGCTCTCTCTCACACACTCACTTGTTCTTTGCGCATTAAAAAGCTGAACATTTTAAGTGCCTTATAAAATGTTACGTGCCGGCAGGATAACGTGCATGCCAGCAACTCTGGCCATGCTCCTCTTTGTCTGTCTCTGCCTCTCCGCCTCACTTGCCACCAGCGAGGCGCGCTGGACAGTTCGCCCCCGTCCGCGTCCCCAGCGCACAACAACGCCACGCACAAGTCGGAGAAGAACCACAACAATTACTACAGAGGCAGCAACAACAACAGCAGCGCAGGATGAAAGACTTGTGCATCATCATCATTGGCCAGGTGTCCTGCCGACCACGGCGAGCTTACCGCCTGCGCGACCGACGCCGCCTTCATCCGCCGAGCCAGCCAAGCTCATCGAACACTCCGATCAACGCGCCTTGGACGGCCACTACGAGTTCAGGTGAGAATGAGCGCGTTTATGGACGCCTTAAGTTCGATTTGATGGCGGCCCTTTGGCAGTTTGTTGCGTCATTTCCTGTTGCAGCTCGCCTGCACAAAGATTTACAATCCGATAACTTCCCTTAGTGCTCTACATTTTTCTTCCTCCTTTCCCTACTTTCCAACCTGCGCTTTAAGCACATACATATGCGATCAGAAATCAATATATGATATAGATATATATCAGTGTATATCGATGGAAACGCATTTGTTTTGGAGCCGTCTTTGAATCTGAAAACATTTATTGAATGATGAATACAAGTAGTTTAGAATAAATAAGTATATAAATTGATAAATGCTTAAATAAATACTTTATATTTATTTAATGATGCATAGTTTAGACTTCCAATCCTGCCAGCTGATCATTTATCAAAACTAGGCGAATCAGAGAACTATCTCCTACAGCTGTCATAGAAACAATTGATCCTTTTGATCATTTATTTCATTTCAAAGCTAGCTCCACTCAACAAATAGATATACATAGTCTGTTCAAAAGAAAAGGTGAATTTTGTTTGTTTTTTTTTTTTTTTTAAGTATTTATCAATTCATCAATATGCATTTTGTCCCCTTCACAGTAATCCCCCTTAGATATAATGCGCTTCTTCCAATACTCGAAGCCTGTCTTTTCGGCATGACCAAGAACGAGCTGTTCTTCGATTCAGACCTTATATCATAAAATCACGGACTACCATTGATGTGCTAGATTTTTTTTCCACAATGCCGATCGTTTGAGCCGTATTGTCATCGAAGAGAACAAAATTCACATTTCCTTTTGAACAGAGCTCATATGCTAAAATATATACTTGCATGGGAGATGTGAGATACACCTAGAAACCCGATTTGGTTCAAAGCATACTTGTATAAGCCACACTTAAATGTGCTTGATAGAACTTTTTCTCCAATTATGGGCATCAAATCAATTGATGCGTAATTGAGGAAATTTGAAAATTGATTTGTACTGCTTTCGCCAAATTGCTTTTTAGATATCAGCTTGACAATGGGGACACACGCTATGAGCGCGCCTACTGGTTGCCGGTGGGAAAAAACTGGGTACTGGCCCGGAAGGGTTACTATTCGGTGCCGCTGCCGAATAGTAAGTATGCCACAACCTTCTATACGGCCGATCATCAGGGCTATCGTGTGGACCAATGTAAGTGTTTTCTTGCCATTTATACACCCTTCCACCCCCTCCACCGCCCACCAGCTTGGAGTGGAGTGGTATGTGTGGGTTGGTTGTGTGTGTGTGTGTAAATGTTTGTGTGTGAGTGTGTGTGACGAAGCGTAAAATTTTATGCCAAAAACGCAGACACATTATCCGCCGCACAGCCCGTGCTGCCACGCACGCTCCATGTGCCCGACGTGCCAAGAGCGATGACAACAACAGCGGGAGCAGCAACAACAAATAAAACAACAACAACAACAACAACGGGAGGAGCAAATGTGAGCAAAGCTGGCAGGGAACGCAAGCAGCCAACGGCTTCGAATGCTAAGCGAAATTCAATAAGCGTGCCGGAGCGTAACGTCGAGCAGCAGAAGCAGCAGGAACGGCAGGAGCAGCTGGACATCAACAACAACAACAACAGCAACAACAGTGCTGAGCAAAGGATGGAGATGGAGATGGAGATGAAGGCAGGACAGGCTGTTGCGTGGAATGTAAGTTTTGTTGCCATAAAGTACAACCCTAACCAGAGGCAGCAAATTTCATGGCGTAAATACAAAAACCATGACATACAATTGCAGAGCGTCAAGGAGGAGCAGCAGCAACAACAACAACAACAACAACAATTTCTACCACAGCACATGGGGCAGCAACAAGAACAGGAACAAGAACAACAATCCATCCTGGATAGCAATGCTGAGGAGAAAGACATTTTGGCAACCGAACCGCATAGCGAAGCTGTTGGTAATGATGATGAAGATGCAGCTGCCACTGTCCCTGAAGATGATCATCATGATGGCGAAGATGATGATGATACCGATGATGATGAAGCTGCTGGCATGGGTGCCGATAACTGAGCGCAAGCCATAAGAAGTGGTCGCCACTGATGAGGCAGTCAAGTGCCAGAAAGAACAACAACAACAGCTTCACATACTCGTACATACATGCCTCGTAGCGTCAGGGGCAGCCCATCCAGAATTTAAGAACTCTTTTCCTCAGCAAAGCGAATACATATAGTAATGGTAATATTTTTTTTTCTAGAATCAAATAAAACTATATTTTAAATCATTCATTTTAATGCTTGAAAAGATGCAGTATATTTCGGGTTTTGATTAAAAATATTCGTCCTAAAAATCTGTTAAAGGTTTCACGATTTGATGGACCACCCTAAAGTTGGGGAAAATGACTGAACTTGAAATTAAGAACTCTTTTCCTCAGAAAAGCAAATCATATAGTAGTGGCAATGTTTTTTCTAGAATCAAATAAAACCAAATTACAAATTATTCATTCTAATGCCTGAAAGGATTCAGTTTATTTCGGGGTTTGATTAAAAAGGTTCGCCTTAAAATGTTTGTCTGTTAAATGTTTTTGCAATTTGATGGACCACCCCAATGCTGGGGAAAATTGCTCAACTTGGTATCCAGTGACTGGTTGTGTGGCTGGGCGAGCACTTATTTCAAATCAAATTGAAACAATTGCCGCGGTGACACAGTCAGGCAGAAAGAGACAGACCAAGCATCCTGCCATTCAGCTCTCACTTGACTCCTGTGGCTTCTCAGCCGGAACAGCGTGTACTTGAACCGTAGTCAAGTTACCTACGATACTCGTATACCTGTGCTGTGCTGTTGGCTTGTCGAAAAGCATTTCACTCTGCCAGCTCCTAACACAATTTGCCACTCACACTGACACAAGCACACGCACACACACACACACACACATTCTCAAATAACCACACAGGACGACACACACACACATTGACACACGTCGAAAACTGTTCACATTAAGATAGCATTACAATTCGATTTCAATTTACAACAATAACCTTTTGAAACATTTGTGTTCGTGGTCGCAGTGTTTGAAGTGCATTCTACAAATAACAATTAATATAATTTAACAATAACAAGCAGTAATATATATACTATAGTATTACTCATATAAATACAACTGCAAGTCAGAAATGTATATTAAGAGTCTCTTCTCATGAAGGAAACTGTTGTGGCTTTATTTCGGGAAATACATACATGGGGGCACATCATCTTCTTTATCAGTAAAAAAAACTACAAGCTCTCTGATGTCACACAGTATATATTATGCAAGAGTTATGAAAGATTTAATATGCGGTTATTATCACGTAACATCTCTACTACTAGGGAAGACAAAAACTGCAGAAGAATTGATGAAGCCTCAATTTAATTTATTGTTACTGTGCTCGTTCTGTCTTATTCATTTGTTTTCCATTAAAACAGTTCCATTTGGTTCAGTAAACAAGAACTTAGATGAATGTTGTTATAGTAACAAGAAATATATAAGATTTGATCGAGCCTAGTATATGTCGAAATTAGACGAAAGTCTTCTAATCTTCTTCTAACAAAATACTGCTAATTGCATCATCTCTTGTCAAATCTCTTCTAATTTACAGAATTTAGCACATTTGAGCTTTACGGTAACCAGATCAAGTATGAGCGCCTTTCAATTTTTAATTCCTTTAACTGACTCCCAAATTCTTCTAAAAGAACCCAATCTCAAGCCACTCCCAAAACATGGATACGTCTCCATAAAGCTTATATTGGATGGAATTTTGTTGGGTCGGGAGAATTATGTCCGCGTTTAAAAGAGTAGGCTGAAAACCACGGATAAGCAGGTAAGAAAGAAGCCAAGTTTGGTCAAATAATTCCCTACAAATATTTTCTCATTACTAGGTAATATTATTTTAAAAATGAACTCACGTTCCTTAACTGATTCTCCCAATGCATTTCATTATTTCTAAGCAACATATTACTGCTTGAAAAACTAATTGTCGTATTCCCGCGAATTTTTGCTTATGTTTTTTTTTTTTTTTTTTTTTTTAATTAATTTACGGTCACATAAAAATGGGTCCTAACTCCCTTTAACTTATCAGAAAATTATTTGTTAGTATAGAATTCTTTTTGAGGAATTTGACAAATACGAATAAATAAATAAATAAACACAATTACCCAACAACTCTGCCATATTTTGTTTAAAGAAATTATTGATTTAATTCACTGAAAATCGGATCTACATTTATTAACTTATATAAGGTAGTGCAATCATAAAACTTTACTTTAATTCTCCTGTAAATGAAACCATTTTGATTGCAAGTAAAATTGTATTTTGAATTTCGAAAAACAAGTTTTATGCTTTAGAAGAGGTTTTAAAATAAATTTTTATTGCCTTCTACTGATTATATTATTTATAGTTTTTAGCTTATTTAAATTCATTGTTTTCTATGACTCGAAGGTAAAGTTTCAATTTCAATGTTCACTAATAATCTTATAGTCCATAGACCACTCCATTAATTGTGCATCAATAGTTTTATGTTTAAGGATAATTCTGTAAGCTGTGCAACTCCATCCCATTTCCATTAAAGACTCCACGCTGTTGGCAGCTAAAACCAAATTGAATTTAAAAGCAATTCGATTTGTTGTTGTTGCATAAAATGTGGTTTTTATTTTATGCTTCAGTTGCGAAAATCAGTTATGCAGCTTAGCAACGCCATAATCATAAAGTTTGGCCAATAAAGAGCCGAAGTACATATATGTATGGATAGTTGGCCAGTTTGATGGCCATAATAATAATGATGATGATGCTGATGCTGATGCTGATAATGATGATGCATTTGTTTCCCTCGGCAATATCTGCCTCTAATTGGCAGAGCACTTGCAACATAATTGGAAATGTGGCAGCACAAAAACAGGGGCACGTGAGATGACAAATTACAAACCTAGCCAAACGGAGAAGGTGTTAGAGATTTTTCTATGACCTCAATTGGTCATAGTTCTTCCCAGCCTTTCTATCATTTCTCTGGCACTTAAAGCCTCTCTCTCTCTCTCTCTCTCTCTTGATGCATTGTCTCTCGGCGTATTTCATAAACGTTTTGTAAAGCAAACAGCTTTAATGCAGGCATGGAGCATAAAATACACACACGCACACAGCTAGAGACAGAAATTGAGATCCCAAAAAAAAAAACGAAAAGAAAAAGGAAATCAGGGGGGAAAAAAGAGTACACATAGGACTGGCAGCTTGAATTTTTCTCATGTCAACTTTTTGAGCAAAGGATTCGGTTTCATTTGCGCAATTAGAATTCAGGCTTTACTTGTATAAGAACTAACTGCGCTTTTTACAGCAACAGAGGACTTCAGGACCTGCTTCCGCCCGCCCCCTCCTCCTATCCCCCACCCACAGCTGCACTAAACAGCTGCAGAGTGAACTTAGCGATGAGTCGTAGTCTGTGTATACGGTTCGACGTTAACTGCATTCATTCCACCATTCATTTATCCATGCATTCATGCATTCATTCACTCATTCATTCCCTGCTTGGCTCTTTCAACTGCTCATTCATTTGATGGCATTGAGGCTGCACCTCGTAAATACTCGTAAACGCAAATGGCAGCCACTGCCAGCTCGAGCTTTAGCTTTAGCTTCCGCCACTACCGCTACACTGAGAAAAAAAAATAGCACTTGCGAATCGTCCTTAGACCTTAGATGCTGGTCTTCAATTTTTAAAATTAATGTTTGATACTCGATGCAACCTTATAGAGGAACATTTTAAAAAGAACAAAAGCTTCGTGGCTCAGATCTATAAAGCAAAAAGTACTTATTAGCAGTGTTGCCAACTTTTTAGAAGGAATAAAAGCTGATTTTGAGGGGAAGGAGACTGAAAAAAAGCAAAAAAAAATTTAAAAAAAATAAGCAAAACAAGCTGAATTTCTTGAATTACAAAAAATTCTTCGAAAAATATATTTCCCAAGGTTTTTCCGTGAATTCTATCGACCTGAATACATTCCCACGTTTTGAAATAAAAAGATTTAAACTTATTACTTATTTATTTTCATTCGAAAATATTGATAAAAACTAATGGCAAAGCTGAAACATTTCCACTTTTTTTTACATAATTGTTGGCAAATTTACAATAAGATGAATAAAAGGTAAATTCATTTTTAAAAAGCCAAAATTCCCGCTTTGGAATATTTTCCTGCAATTCGATTTTAAAGACAAGCCACATATTCTCTTTTTTTACAAAAATGTTGGCAAAATTACAAAAAGACGAAAAAAAAGGTAAATTCATTTTTAAAAAGCCAGAATTTCCGCTTTCTACAATTTCGAATATTTTTCACGCGATTTGATTTCAAAAACAATCACATTTGGCGGGAAAAAAGTCAAATTAGCATCACTGCTTACTTATTACATATTGACATATTTCAGGGAAAGAGGAGAAAGAGAGAGAGAGAGGGAAAGATATATATATATAGAGAGAGAGAGAGTCCTCCTAGTCCCTCAGTTTAATATAAAAATGGATTGCATTTATTAAATACAGGAGTTAGGTTTTGTCACAAGTAGCTTGAGTTAGAAATTTGTTTGCGGTGCACATTCGGCGTCGTCCTGATTTGAAAGAGCCAAGGCGACTTGGGCTGCACAAATGGGCTGAACGACTATATGACTGTGCGACTGAACGATGCGATGGTGCGACCCATTGTCCCACGCCCGCATTGGATTAGTAGCGAAATGAATAGCTGGCGCTGCATCTTGCCGGCTATGGCTTGGGTCTGTGTGCAGTTTACGAGCTGGAACCCAGTCGTTGCCGTCGCTCATTTGCAAGGATGTAAAAAAGGAGGAGGATGCTCAGGACAACAACGCCGAACACGATGCTGAGCAGTGAATAAAAGGTAAACGTAATGCTCCCCATCGTCCTCGTCAGCGTCATCATCATAAGCATCAGCATCAGCGTCGGCGCCGTCGTCGTCGTCGTCGTCGTCGTCCACGTCCACCTGGGAGCTCTGGCGCACAGCTGAGCAATGTGGGCTTGATAGGCGTGGCTGGCAAGGCAGGCTTAGGAGGCGTTAAAGGCGTCAAAGGCGTGGCAGGCGTGGCTGGTGCCATGTTAAATCTTTTATGTCTTACATGTGACTACAAAGCACGACCCGCAAGGGCGGCACAAAGACTATCATGACTGTGGCGTTGATGCTGACGCCGCACAGTGGGACAAATTATCAATTTCACAATTGTTGATGTCTAATTTGTAACGCTCCAACGGCATTAAAAAACATTTTTTTTTTTTTTTTTGGGGGGGGGGGGGGGGGGGGGGGTAATGGGTACAGCGAAGGACTTTCCTAAATGTTAACACTTGAAAGTAAATAGTTCTACAATCTTATCGCTATCTGCCGTGGAAAGGATTATTGAATATTTTCAAATACCGTAACTGCAACCAAATTCTTGAAGAAGAATCTTATGTAGGAATCAATGAAGGTACTGCAACTCTAGACTGTCGGAACAAATATCTATACATAGTATACACTTTAATAGACAAACTTGAATTGTTGATAAATAAACCTGGTTTCTACCTCCCAGCTCCAAAAATATTAAGATATAGACTACTTTTCATTTAAATGATTCGCTCGAGATCGAAAGAAACCACCAATTGCTCAGCTCAAGCACGCGCAGTTGAGGCACTGTCGATGCAGATAATAATGAGATGTTTTATATTACATAACAATAAAGCTATAGAGTAATATTATGTTATACAGTCATCTTAAAAAATAAGAAAGTCTCAAAAAATAACTATACAACAATGTCTATTAATGCCTCCGACACGTTGGGGGAATTTCATTTGCCATTTTCCCAGCCATTTGTGGATAGAGACATCATAGACGTAGGAAAAAAAAAAAAAAAAATTAAGAATTCAAAAAATATAAAAAAAATAAAAATAATAAAAAAAGGAACTACAGCTTATTAGTAGTTTTAAATGTAGTTTTAAATGGCTGCGTTTCTATTATACTCGTGCTATATATTTCTTCCACTATATATCAGCTGAAAATGTATTTAATAGTCTTCCATTCCTTAGAGCGGAATTTTAAAAGTTATTTGCATTAAAAAGCTTTTCTTTGATTTCGTAACAAATGTATAGAATATTAGAATTAGTTTGTTATGGCTACCTTTCTATTATACTCGTACTATATATTTCTTCTACTATATATCAGCTGAAAATGTATTTAATAGTCTTCCATTCCTTAGAGCGGAATTTGAAAAGTTATTTGCATTAAAAAGCTTTTCTTTGATTTCGTAACAAATGTATGGAATACTTCTTGAAGTCGTTCGTAATTTTAAAATACAGCTCGTTTTTCTTTGACACCCACAAACAAATCCGTTCCTTCAGGATATATATCATTTCTGCTACTGTGCGGTGTCGTTGACGTTGCTGCAAATGTTTTATGAATACGCCGAGATTTGCGAGGACGACAACGAGGACGTTGGCGGCACCTTTAGCGCTGGCAGCGCCCAATTTGGTTTTAGAAAACCATTTAAATGAAACTGGCACAAAGCCGCCGAGCGGATGCCATGTACGAGTACGAGTGCTCGTACATGTCCTGCCAGTCCAACCAGCCTTCTCATATTGCCAGATTTAAGATCAAATGATTCGCACGCCGGCACCAGCATCAGCACCAGCAGCTTTCGTCCTTTCATTGAGCGCAGGAGCTCGTTATTTTAGTAAGGAAACGCGTTGCATACAAACAGAGCACAGTACAGGCTGCTGTCCATTTTGGCGGTCATTGTAGCCTCCTCGCTCGGATTCGCATTCCCACACACACACACACA